TTTGAAAAGTCCTTACATTTCGGTCGTAAAAGTTGTTAAACCTCGAACCCGTCACGAAATCTTTGATTGATTCATCCTCAAAACTGTTTGATTCGATCATTGAACGTATCTTCTTACCAAAGATTCTTCCTCTAAGTGTTGATCTAAAGCTAGAAACTTTCTTCCTGAGATTGAATCTTTCTTTCCTCCTGATTGGATCCACAACAACTGATTCTGTTTCTTCTTGCTCTGTTATTACAGACTCGTGCTTTCTCATGATCTGCGCGCCAGTCAAAACATGTCGATCCTCCAACAGAAGCTTTCCAAATGATGTCCCTGAGACAGGAGCGGATAATGATCTTTTGAGATTTCTTGGTGATGAAGAATTCTTCTTAGAAACATCTCTGTTTGTTCTCGAGTCTTCTTCTTCTTCGATTTCCTCGGTTTGTTTCCGTAAGCTCGCTGCATCCGATACAGTAGGTCGCAAACGGCTCCTACATTTTATCGTATAATCATCTGAAGGACTAATCTCTTTTCTCAAAACATTCCTCAATCTCTCTGCCAAAAGTATTCTTGTATCTCTACTTATAAACTCACTCGGCGAGTCAGGTGCATTGCACTGAACTTCACTTGCGGCATATGATCTCATCGATTCAGACCTCGGGAAAGGTCTTTCGCTGAAAGGAGTCTCGATACCACTTCCTCTCACTGATGAACTTCTCTTGAGAGCTCTTCCTTGAATCTCACCTTTTAACCTCTCCTTCACTTCCTCAAGAAACTCTTCTATGCTACTTCCTCTACTTCCTTCCAAAGTTGTCCCTGACGAAGTAGTTAACGAATCTTCGTAATCATACACTCTCTGAGTAGGACCAGGTCTTAAAACCACAATCCTAGTTGCAGCTGTTCTATCTGATTTCAAGTTGAAATCACGACCAAAGCTTCTAGTTCTTGTGAAAAGCCTCTCTTTCTCCTCCCCAGGCGCCACCACGCAGCCCGATTCAACGATTCTCGAACAATCTTTAAACCTTTTATCAGCTTGCCACGCTTCAAACTCTCTTCTAAATCTTTGAAGCTCTTCTTCTTGAGGATGTTCTCGACGCATTGGTGGATTATCAATCTCCTCTACCTCCATTACTTTCACTGATGATGATAACTTCCCTTTTCGGGTTTTTTTCCCACCTCCTTTCTCATGAGATTGATCAACTTTTGTCGTACGATGATTGATCCAAGACGTTGATTTGGTAGTAGAATCCAAAGGAAGTGCATCCATTCCCATAAGCTTAGCTACAAGACTCGGCGAATTCTGTTTATCGTTGGAACGTTTCGAAAGCTCCTCGATGATCCTCTTCTTCATTGATTCCTCAATTGGGTAACAACTTCTCTCGTACCATTCCTCTTCTTCAAATCCATAACTCTGCTTTGTCAAAATTAAAAAACACTCATTTACCATTTTGTTTTCAGTTTCAGAGAATACAAGAGAGAGAAATTCGTTATTGTTATTACCGGTTTATCTTTGTCGTCATGGTAAGTCTGAAAACTGTCAACTTGAAGCTCGAAACTATTTCTTGGAGCTTCCAGATCTGCAGAGAGGAAAAACGAAGAAGATGATTGATCAAATGTTCAAACCCAGAAAAAAAAAAGATTTGATTTTTGTTTGAAAATAGCATTAAATTCAGCGAATTTTATTAACCTTCGTCGCGGTTTTTGTGATGAGAGAAAACTTTCCGAGAGAAACTGTTGTTATGGAAATCGAAGAGATGCAATAATCCTCCCATTTCTCCGGCGATTGGATCTTAAACGGCGATGGAACTTCCGATCTGATGAATCATCAGTGAAAGACAAAACCCAGATTCTGAATTGTTCTTCAGTGAAGAAAGGTTAAAGCTTTATTAGTTTTAGACAGAGAAAACAGAACAGCGCTAATTCTGGAACAGAGCAGAATCAAGAGAGGAGCTTTACGCAACGAAGGAATCGAGAGACGAAACAAAACCAATGAATTGTCTTCTCGTGAATCAANGAAGCATGGAAAATGGAAGATTGTGAAAGGATG